GGAAAGGTGTAGTTTACAAAGGGAAATATTATGTTTGAATTTAAAGGAAAACATAACAATCCAGTAAGTGTCATAATTTTAATTTTAAGCAGATTCAAAGAGAAATACTTAAATACAGCGAAGCAACTAGAACCATTGCTTATTCGACTTGTAACGTGGCATGGTTCGTTACCGTTGCCGTTCTGTTCATCACTCGATAAAGATACTAATTAATGTTTAGCATGTCTGAGTTTTAAGAATCACCCCAAAGTATCATGTCAAATTGACCTGGGCCGACTTGCACAAAACGATCTTAGCGCTGGGATGATCGTAACTCCAATACTTTAACATTGGCTTCGATAGTCTTAGTGCTAAGATCGCTTTGTCCAAGCGGGCCCTGGTCCGCAGACATATGTTATATTGGATAGAAAAATCACATTAAGTATCAACATACCTATGTATTGTATTGTAACATGTACTGCTTATATAGATAATTACACGATGTATACAGAAATGGGAAATAAATAATCTTTAAAAGAATGAGAAGAAAAAATGGTTATTTCATGGTGATGTATTTGATACGGGTATCGTTGTGTTTCGGCGACTGTTATCGGCCTTAGTAACGTTTTGGTAATGTTTGTAATTTCTTGGTCAAATCCAATTTTCAAGTGTATACTTTCTTGACGCAGGTTAAATTCTCTACTGTGATAGTTTGGAGTATGAAACCAAGCGTCTCTCCAAGAAAAAGGATTATCATGTACGTTCTATCAGAACATTGTACACAATCAGATCATGATCAGATATGACCCATGTGATTGGTGGTTCGGGGGTACTGGGATTGTGAAATAAACACTTGATCTTTATGAGTTGATCTCAGTGTCAAAGGTCACACTTGAGTATACGAGTTTGTGAACACCGACTTCAGGGGAGGTAATTCGCGGGCACTTTGCCACCACATACCGGGTCGTGTTAGGTGTATCGCAATATGTCACTCGCTGGCATGATACAGCAATATATCAGTCACTGTAATGTATAATTGTTCACTACCAGGGGGTGAAATCGTTATTTTGTCGCGTGATATATGCTATGTTATTGTTACAGTGTGGTGGAGGACAGGTGCCCGCCGTCCCGGGGGGTAGTACACCCATAACTGACCTAGGGGAGGTGGTAACTAAGAGGCAGGCTAATCTTGGAGGGGTCTTTGATGAATAGGAACATGAAGAGGGTTACAGTGCCAAAATATCACGCACTGGCTTTTAATAGAGCGTGCATATAGTCAGTACAGTTACTTGGCTTTATGGTGAAAGGTTGGTGGGGACGTTTAACATAGGTGAGTTAATTCAGTGATACAGAATATACCATTAAGAATATATTTGTATTTATTTTGTTTGTTTGCTGTTCAGGTGAGTTAAATTAGTAACACTAACTATACCATAGCGGATATAGTTGTGTTTAATTTATATGTTTGTTTTTTAACGCCACACTCAGCAATATCCCATAACGACGCCCTGTACATAATCGAGTCTGGACCATATAATCCAGTGATCAATATTGTGAGCAACTATGTACGACCTTCAAGTACCTACATGGGTACCCACGTGACCGGGTATAACCGGTGGCCTGTCTGGAATGCACATGTACGCCAACAAGGTGATACGGTCACAGACATTCCTGCTGTCTGGAACCATTCAAGTGTCGTGTCCCCAAGACGCTGATGAATAATTAGTCTGCTAGTTTGAAGGGCATATAACGATGCTATTGTAACTGTGTCTAGTAGACCCTAACAAACATCGACAGCAACCAAGTAGGGTTTCTCTTCGCGGAAATATCCTAAAAATATGTAATGTAGTTCCAACAATCGACTGGAGGTTGATAATCATCAGAATGTTTAGTTAATCTCACTGACCAAATGGTAAAGTAGATGTGTTTGATGTGTGGGTCATACTCCTATTTCTTGAACATATTATAAATCAAACGCCAGGTTTAACATTGCACTGAATATCAACCAGCTCACTTAATTATTAATTATCTTTCAGTGACACGTGACACGTCTAGTTATTAAGGAGATAAACCTACTGTGTTTTGAAATTTGATGTAGTCCGACTGTAGAGTAGATACCTCTGTATTATAATTTTGAACCGAGCGCAAAATGTCTCCGGAATTATGTGCCAGCATTTTTGTTTTTTAGTGCACACACCATCTCTACCCCTTCCCCATTATCCAAGAAGTTGTAGCCCCACTTGTAACGATATTGTTTAACCTTGTCACAATGTGTCACGCTTTAAATCGTGACCGGGTTTCTTGTCGTTAAGAGGCGACTAACGGGATCGGGTGGTCAGGCTCGCTGACTTGGTTGATGCATGTCATCGTATCCCAATTGCGTGGATCGATGCTCATGGTGTAAATCACTGGATTGTCTGGTCCAGACTCGAGTATTTACAGACCGCCATCATAGAGGTTGAATATTGCTGAGAGCGGCATTAAACAACAAACAAACAAACAATACCATTAAACATCATGCACTCTTTCGGCGTGACGGCCACGAGGGATTAGCTCCATGACAGGGAAGCAATTCGGGGTTCACATGTTCAACTGATATCAATCACTGGATTGTCTGTCCCAGATTCGATTAATTACAGACCGCCGTCATAAAATGGAATATTGCCGAGTGCGGCGTTACAAAAACAAACAACCAAACATTTAAATCGTGACTGTGTATCGTTTCACTGTGTGTTATTATATATTATTATTATGATTATCAAAATATAAGTCTCTTAGTATATGCTTATCTGTTGGACCCGTGAAGATTCCTGAGTAGAATAGGTCTTCAGCAACCCATGCTTGCCGTAAAAGGTGACTCTGCTTGTCGTAAAAGGCGACTAACGGGATCGGGTGGTCAGGCTCGCTGACTTGGTTGATGCATGTCATCGATCCCAATTGCGTGGATCGATGTTCATGATGTCAATCACTGGATTGTCTGGTCGAGACTCGATTATTTACAGACCGCCGCCATATAGCTGGAATATTGCTGAGTGCAGCGTTAAACAACCAACCAACCAACCAAAGCTTATCTGTTGTGTGAATCTTGCATGTAGTTTCAGTCATCATCTGAGATCTCAGATACGCACGCATTCTCATCATGCACGCATTAATGGAGTCATCACATCAAAGCAGCTATTTCTATTGCGCCCAACACACGATCATACAATCAGTCTGATCTGTGTTTATGTCGTATGTCTAGAGGTAAGTAGTATCTGCTGAACTTGTGTGAGCATTGACAACAAGCGATGAAGACCAGGTACTAATCGCCCAACAACTCCGCCAAGGCAGGCGAGACTACAGTTAACTGTCTATCATCAATAATAAACGTGGCTTCGGGTGTTGTGTTATTCCCGTTACCATGGTAACAAGAGTGAACTTATGATATATACATCATGATACTCATAAACATATAATCACAATGCATCGTGTTTAGGAATCGCTGATAACAAGAAGTTAGGCACTCTAGGCGCCCAAGTTCGTTTATTTAAGTTATCCGGACTTTCCGAGTTGTCAGCTGGGCCTCGTTTCACAATGTGATTTCAGCTATACGACCACCGTAACCTATACTTAAACATAGACTGACGACGGCCGTCGCTCTACAATCGCATTGTTGAAATTAGGCCCTGGGCAGCAACTTGGCATCTTGAAATTGCAACAAATTTCAACTTAGTATCTTGAGGGGGCACGGGTGACCCAGTCGTCTAAGGCGCGGCGATTCGCTGTGCAGAGTTGCGTCCCTTGGGCACGCCAGAAACCTATGATTGTGGGTTCGAATCCCGGTTCGCCCCGATTATGTTTCTAGGTTTCTAGGTTTTTCAGCACCATACCCGTGTTCGTGAGTTTGACCAAAGTGGTAAACGTCTGAGACCTACATTACTTCGGGCTTTCATCACCATATTGGCGGCCATCTTGGATTTTCTACCACCAGGTGGCGCTGCTGAGGTGGATCTATATCCAGAAATGTTCGGAATGTTTCAATGTATAAGTGTGCCAAGTTTGGTGCTTTTAACCCAAAGTGTACAATTGTGACTGAAATCCAGCCTTAACCGCCCTACATTGACCGCCCCATCCTGCCGTTGACGTCATGATCAGCTTACGAGATAAGAGGAAGCCGCCATGGCATGGTCATGTATGACTTACTTGCCATAATTCGCTTTTACCAAGCGGTCGACCTAGCTGTCATAGCTGCTGAAGCCACTTTTAGTATTTACTGCCGTAGTAAGTTTAGATATCTATTTGTTTCGTATCATCGTTGACTGCTGTCATCTTATTCAGTTTACATTATTGAGACCACTGAAAGGGAGGTAACTCTTCACTGAAGCTACTTAGTCCTATAGTCCGGACACTTCACTATTTGGTTTGAAAACGAGACCGTCCAAATTAACACGGTTCCATTGAATACAAACACCTTGAGTTAGGTGGCAAAGATGTGTAAAATGTATGTACAACCACCTAGGTTCCACGAGGCTATCCTTTCGTCTATTATCTACGAGTGTGTATGTGCTTTTGTGTGTGTGTGTGTGTGTGTGTGCGTGTGCGTGCGCGCACGTGGTGGGTGCGTTCGCGCGCGTGTACGTGTATGTGAGGTGCGTGGTCTTGTGTGTATGTGTGTGTCGGGGATTGGGATGGGGGTGGGGTTGGTGGGGAGGGTATCAACAAAATGACAACTAGTTGACTGGAACCTATAATTCTCTTAAGGGTCATACGTAACGACGTTATTACGGTAATCTCAATATTATTATTCCTCAATATGTTAATCCCATCTTACCTCGTCACAATATAGTTGATTGGGGCATTCTCCGGTGATCGACCTGGGAACATTGCGACATTCACTTACAGCCACTCGGAGCTCGTCCGCGGTAAGCGGATAATCTGTAACTAACGGCTTAACGCTGGGAGAGATCTGGTTCTGTGGGTAATGGTCGCTAGTCATGGCTCGATTCTACTCCGTAGTTCAGATGGATGGTGTTTCATTTCAGAGCGAGACAGTGCGTAGTCGAAAAGGAGCCCGCGAGGAAATGGAGACAAAGTCGCCTTGGGAGTCGCTCGTCGAAGTAGCAGGCAGTGTGAGTACCCGGATGTCGGGAGATGAAATCTGTTTCTGTTCTGTCAGCGACTGCCTTGTGAAGTTATAATGTGTAGCCCCCTTTGCGAAATCACATGACAGTTTGCCACCCCAAAACATTCGTACGATGTTAACTAAAAATTGTTACCTCCCTTTTTTGAAAATCGAATTCATCTGAGAGAGTGCTTACCGCCCGATACACAACCATTGTAACATCAAAACTCCTCGTTTGAAAATCACCAAAAACACCTGTTTGCGAGTTTCCTCCAAAACTCGAAATGTATGGATACTGCCTTAAAGTGTACTTCAGTCAAATAAGGTACACACATTGTTTCCGACTTCTAAATTGAATCATGAATTATGGTGGAATATAGGGCTGGGACGAGTCCAAATTCACTACCCGAGTACCCACCCCACTATTACCCGACCCTACTCGGGTACACACTGTAGGTCTCAAGGGTTACAAAATGGCCGATTGGGATTTTCTTTACCACGGCGCTTGCAAAACGTATTTAGATACATGTATTAAACGATCTGGTCATGCATACACTGAAGTCGACTTAAGTTGTCCTTATTCAACCATATGAAAAGTCAGAAGGAATGGGTGCATTAGTGACTTGTAGTGTAACCATAGAGTTCCACATAATTTTTGTCATTAAACTATATATCACATGACTAAGAACAGGTCCAGGTAGTCCTGTGGGTCCCCGGGTCCAACACAGTACCCACCCGACCCGGGTACCCGAGTTACCCGTCCCAGCCCTAGTGGAATATATGACTATTTTAAATAGATTTGTTGGGAATGTGAGCGATATGGTATAGTTTGATTTGTACAATCGGTAAAAACCTCACAGGCCTCTGTATCCTGGGTGATGGTTTTGTAATCCTGGTGTAAGCGAGTACTCGGCGAGGGTACTCAAGAACAGTTTAGGCGTTGGGTCGCCACAGGTTCAAATAATCACTTACTAGTGTATGAAGACCCTTCATTCATACTGCCCAAAGTGTCATGAAAACATACTTTCTAGATCACTTAGTTATTTATGGATCAGTACAATATGTTAACAACTAAGATTTCTGCGCACGTTCTTTGGGCAGCGGTAAACAGTTCGATGTTGGACAAAAAGCTTAATTTCTTAAACTTTGTGACAAGGCCAAAGATTTAACCCGGATCCTTGCGGGTGGTTTACGAAGGAGTGACGTGGGAAGCTTAGGCCTGGTGTTTTATTCAGGGCCAGGGCAGATATCCTGTCAGCACAGAATGACAACGTGTGCTCCGGTTTTGTCACCGTCGAACTGGCCAACTTTGGACGTTAATTCCTCCAATATTACGTTATCTGTTCAATACAAAGTAACGTTGAAACCAACTCACTCTGCATTGTTTATTTGACTTTACAGCTGAACCAAGACACGCGGAAGGTGTTCCGGTATATGAAGAAGAAGCTGCGCACTAAACGACGCAATGGAGAGACGGAGGTCAAGGCCATTCATATAGTTCCGGATGATGACGAGAGAAAGTGGGCGAGAAGGTCAGCCAGCAGCGCAGCAAGCAGGACATCTACTGATACTGCTTGTTCCAACAGTAGTCGTGAGGATAGCAGCCTGCAAGTAGTGCACGACATGGCGGAGGATGTCATAGTCGGCCTAGAGTGACGGTAAACAGGCAGCAACAACTGCATGGTGCTACTTTACAGGTTGGTAGACTCACATACCGATATGAGTTCTGTTTGTTTGTTTGATTGTTGTTTAACGCCGCACCCAGCAATATCCCAGCTATTTGACACCGGTCTGTAAAGAATTGAGTCTGGACCAGGTAATCCCGTGGTTGACACCATGCGCATCGATCCGGGCAATTGAGGTACAATGACGTGCATCAAACAAGTCAGCGAGCCTGGCCACCCGATCCTGTTAGTCGCCTCTTACCACAAGCATAGTCGCCTTCTAGACAAGCATGGGTTGCTGAAGACCTCTTCTGCCCCGGATCTTCACGGGTCGCGTGAGGTAGTGTAAATTGGCACTGACTTGCCATGTCATCGTATCCCAATTGGGTGGATCGATGCTCATGATGTCTCTCCTTGAATATCCTTTTTCAGACTCGCTTATTCACAGACTACCGTCATATAGCTGGAATATTGCTGAGTGCGGCGTTCAACAACAAATAAACACTACCTCACGCAGTCATGCACTACAATTGCATGCCTTTTACATGCTGAATCCTGTCCGTGAACATAAAAGAGCATTTTGATGGAACAAATGTTACAATCTAACACCATTTCTAAAAAAAAATTAAAATTGCCTCTTCCCACACCACCGATGCGTTTCCTTTTAGGAGAGTATGTTTGAACTATCTGTGTTCTCACGGACAATTAGCTTCGGTCAAAGACTTGCTCATGTTTAAATATTAAAAATATGTTGTTGTTTTTCTAAACATTTTAGCCCTATGTATACATTTTGCTATACTCAGAAGCAAGCTTGGGTTGGAATGAACCAAGTTTAGTATTTAATCATTTGAACGTATAGTTTCAATTATTTTTCTTAAACTTACTTCTTAAATTGTTCAAATCCCGTGGACTATAGGTCCGCGTCATATTTTGCAATTTTCATTTTATCCCAAAGAGATTCCGTTGTTTTCTGTTCGTACTGTTTGAAATTAAATACAAATTCACCCTATTCACTCGTACCGTATTTTAACCACCCAGTCAAAATACAATCTCACTAAAATCAGATCTAAGTTCACGCTGCCGCTAAACAAAGATCTGAGGACCTATTACGGGTCACGTCAGAACGACCTTTCGCGAACCTCACACGACCTCCCACTGAAACCGCTAACAAGAAGTCAACATCAGCCAATTAGAAAGCAGCTTTCTCGAGCTTAACGGCACTTGTTTCAACCTGGCGACTTCCATTTCAGACTACGCTTGAAAAATATGTTGACACAGTTCTCGATTAAAATTTTGAAATCTGAACAAACGATCGTTATATCGTTGCGATTGTATGGCAATGCTTCCCACGTAATGTGTGCAACGCCTCCTCCGTTCAAATGTTTATCCCACCCAAACGAGAGATAGACGATAATTTTGACAGAATCAGTCGTACGGGCCGTAACTGTCGTTCGGAATAACCCGTGTTAACGTTTTCGAGGTTGCATGATTAGAAAACACGTTCCGACTGTCACTTTCATGATCTGGTAAGCGACACTTTGATTGGTCGGATGAAAGGTCGTTCTGACGTGACCTTAAATGGGATGTCCTCAGATCTGTGTTTAGCGATAGCGAGAACTAAGATATGATTTTAATGAGATTGGCCAAACTACTACCCTTCTTTGAGATGCATTTAGATATCCTGTCTTGACAATCTGACATCTCTTTAAACTTCAGGACAAAGAGGGTAAAAGGCAATGCGATATTCTACCGCGATTAACCAGTGATCGCTTCGGCAACAACATACCCTTGACGTATGCCTGATTACTTCGACCGGAACTTTGTAGTTCTCCCTGGTGAAAGTGGACAAAGGGAGACAACTCTCGCGATCACTTGGTGGTGGTTTTTGAAGACTGAACACAAAAGTCCTGGATCAAGCCGGACAAACATTCCCGATGTGTTATCCCCCTTTCGTCAACTTTCGAAGTTTATTGTCTTGTCATTATTATACAGATACAGCTATGTGTCAGTGTGTCCTCAAACGCAAGCTGTCATTCGGATATAAATTGGAACAAAGAAGACGAATGGGGCGAGTGTTTTCCAATGGCTGCAGATATCATCAGTTGATGAATTGTTACTCCAGATTATCTTTCCAGATGAAAACGATGTAAAGTGCTTTCCATTAAGACAATTATTCCAACCAAAACATACACTGAATATTTGTTAAAAAGTTTCGGAGTCTTTCTGTGTACGTAAGTGTGGATGGTTTCTAATACTCTTCGACAACTTGCCAGAGGCAGGTACGATTGTCCACACAACTGATTTGGTATCAATTCACGAAGGAGAGCCATAAAGAAAAAATACACACAGCGTATCCACGTTCAGGGCAACAAATGGGGTATGACAGGCCCTTACCCAGGAAAACGCCCACTATCAGATTTGTCTGAATCTATATCAGTATTATGTCACTTTCTTCATAACTACTATGTGTGGATTGTGTGAAGATGTGTGTGTGTGTGGGTGTCTCGAATATGTTACATTCAATAGATTTCGTTTCGATAGAACAAGGGACCGATCATTTGATATTCACCGTTGTGTCAAACTTTGATATGTCGAACTTACGGTTGTCTCGAAGTAAAAAATTGGTCCCTGCGTATTTCTTCTTTATTCATCATTTTTTCGGTTGTGTCGCACCTCGGATAACTCGAATTATTTACGAAGGTCCCGTCCACGTGGACACAACGGTGTTTGACTGTACTTGGGATGCCTGGGATTTTATCGAAAAATAAATCGTTCCACACAATACTTGAAAAACCAAATTATGCTTCAGATTGTTGAAAAGAAAATTGTCTGTCACAAAAATGACATTTTTGCAAGGTGTTATTAATTTTTTAAATATTTGGGCTCATACTTCTAGCTAAACAAATATCTTGTTTTGTGTCTGTAGCTACCACAGTGTGTCGTCTCCATACAAAATCCCAGCCCCTCTTCCCAGAATGGTCGCTCCGTAGATGACGTGTCAGATATCAGATGCATTTTTTTCTCTTATGACATTTACGAGGCCACACTTAATTAATTTTTACGTTTTCATCCTAATCTTCATGGGAGACGGCTGGCACTTTATTACATATTTTTAATAGTTTTTCTTCACAAGCAGTTCAAGGTATCTGCGTACATTATCTATGAGTGTTATGCACGTGCAACATGTATGTTTGGTAGGACAGTGTACGTGTTGTATTTGTATGATGTAAGACCTTCGTTTACAAACATATTGACCTAAAATTCAATGTTGGTGGTCGACAAGAACATAAAAATATTTTCAGCTTCCAGATTAGTACTATTACTTATGAACGAAAAGCAAACTCGCACGTCACAAAAGTACGTTTGCAAAAGATACCGAAAGATAACTGATAAGATATTAAATGTATTATTCAACATTTCTTAGAAAGAGCAGTGACCAGATCAGGTAACAGATAGATCACGCGTATGATGATTTTTAAAATTTAATCTCGTGTTGTTTCCCAATCTGCCGATAAGCAATGGCTGCCACGTGAACGACTGCCTTGTTGTATTTCTATCAAAAGTAGAATATATTCTGAATTGTAACGATGCCACTTGAAGCTTTTGTTCTGAGGTGAAGTAAAAATGGCATTTTTCATTACATTAATGATGGACGTGGTTCAGCGAGATCGGGGATTGTAACATTCCGTCCAGAAGTGGATGTAAGTCCGTCCGAATATGTACAGACGTTTGTGTGCAAACCATCCGTCCGTATATGCACAGACGTTTGTGTGCAAACAATGCAGTCGATCGACCTCCCATGTTTTTTTACTATATATATGATTTGACTTTTGCATGTTTATATGTCTTGAATAAATTAAAATGAGGCATTTGACTTCCTGTTGTTATTGCAGCGTTGGCCAGGGCCCACTTGCACAAAGCGATCTTAGCGCTAAGACGATCGTAACTCTAAGATCGCTTTGTGCAAGTGGGCCCTGGTCTGTTGTGAGTTGGAGGCAGGCAGAGATCTGTGGAGCTGCCCATTGCGTGCATTGGGCGCGGCGTTAAACAACAAATAAACAAACACATTTTGTCAAGGATACACAACCAATAATACGCATTAAACGATCGTTCTTATTGGAACAAATCATAAACATATTGTGCTAGGTTTTTGTGTGTTATCGAATATATATTTAGATGCACACAAGTGTACATTGACGAAGTGGCATATGTACGAGGGCTGGCTGAAATGTTCTAAGCCTATTTGGGATATCTCAATCGGACTGAAACAAACTTTTGCCACCAACAAGTACAATCATTTAATGAATCATAGACATAAGAACTGCAACTGTAGTGTTATTATTGTCTTTATATCAGACCATCTTGTCACCTACCCATTAAAATCACCAGAAATGGACAAAACTGGCTATAGGGCAGTCATCAAGTACCTGCAACTGAAAGGGCTAACTCCAACACGGATACATGCTGACATGGTCTCCACTTTAAGGGATGATGCCCCTTCCTTTTCCACTGTAAAGAAGTGGGCTTCGGAATTCAAGCGTGGCAGAGAGAGCCTTGACGATGCCCCTGCGTCCAGGAAGGCCTTCAACGGCAACCATTCCGGAAAACATTACCCGGGTGCATGACATGGTGATTGCTGATCAACGATTGACCACTCGACATATTGCCAGTGCTGTGGGCATCTCTCATGAGAGGGTTGAGCACATTATCACCAACGAGTTGGGAATGACAAAAGTTTCTGCAAGATGGGTGCAAAAGCTCTTGACAGCGGATCAGAAACGTGTCAGATTCCTGACGTCCCGTGACAATTTATGCCGTTTTGAAGCAGATCCCGATGATTTTTTGGCCCGATTTATAACCATAAACGAGACCTGGACCCACTTGCACAAAGCGATCTTAGCGCTAAGATGATCGTAACTCCTATACTTTAACATAGGCTTACGATAGTCTTAGCGCTAAGATCGTTTTGTGCAAGTGGGTCCTGGATTCATCACTTTCAACCAGAAACCAAAATTCAGTCTAATGGAAGCATCCGGAATCACCAGCCCCCAAAAAGCCAAGTCGGTTCCTTCTGCTGGAAAGGTGATGTCTTCAATCTTTTGGGATTCCAAGGGTATTCTGCAGATTGACTATCTTGAAAAAGGCCAGACTATCAATGGAAGATATTATGCTGACCTACTGAGACAGTTTGCGTGAAACTATCAAAGCTAAGCGACGGTGAATGCTCACTAAAGGAGTCCTGTTCCACCAAGACAATGCTCCTGTTCACAAATCGGTGGTTGCCATGTCAGCGATCCATAATTGTGGCTTCGAACTCATTGACCATCCCCCTTATTCACCCGAATTGGCCCCGTCAGACTTCCACCTGTTTCCCAAAATGAAAAAGGAACTAGCCGGTCGCCATTTCCCTAGTAATGATGACGTCATTATCCGCTGTGAATGACTTTTTCAGGGTGGCTGAAGAAAATTTCTTCTTGACCGGCATCCAGGCCTTGCAGCATCGCTGGCAAAAGTATGTAAACCTGGAAGGGGACTATGTGGAGAAATAAATGAAAACCATCGACTTGGTACGGCTCTTTCACAGTTAGGCTTAGAACTTTTCAGCCAGCCCTCGTAGCTGCAATGTAAATTTAACTAAAGTGGGCAAACAAGTACAAAATGGTTTTCTGCCTCCACCGTGTCTGCCATAATTACTATGTAAAAAATGGGTGCGCGTTGCTGCTTCTACTTTTACTGACTAATGTCATTTTATAGTGCTAGCCCACTGAGATACCATGCCACAGTTTAACATGAATACCCCACTCAAACACAGTATACTGACCCCGAGCCGACCAGTCCTAGTTTTATCCTCTTAATGTCGAGCGTCAGGCAGGAAAACTGCAAGTATCTTTTTATGTCTTTGGTATGCCGCGGACGGGGATCGAGTCTGTAATGTTAGGCCTATAGTGTTTTAGGTATGCAGTTTTAGATCTGCAGTGTTGGGCCTGTATTGTCGGGCCTTTAGTATTGGGCCTGTAGTGTTAGGCCTGCTCTGTTAGGCCTGCAGTGTTAGGCCTGCAGTGTTAGGCCTGTTATGTTAGGCCTGCAGTGTTAGGCCTGTTGGGTTAGGCCTGCCGTGTTAGGCCTGCAGTGTTAGGCCTGTTGTGATAGGCCTGCATAGTTAGGCCTGCGGTGTTAGGCCTGCAGTGTTAGGCCTGTTGTGTTAGGCCTGTTGTGTTAGGCCTGTTGTGTTAGGCCTGCAATGTTAGGCCTGTTGTGTTAGGCCTGCGGTGTTAGGCCTGCTGTGTTAGGCCTGCAGTGTTAGGCCTGCATAGTTAGGCCTGCTGTGTTAGGCCTGCTGTGTTAGGCCTGCAGTGTTAGGCCTGTTATGTTAGGCCTGCAGTGTTAGGCCTGCAGTGTTAGGCCTGTTGTGTTAGGCCTGCAGTGTTAGGCCTGCAGTGTTAGGCCTGCTGTGTTAGGCCTGCAGTGTTAGGCCTGCATAGTTAGGCCTGCTGTGTTAGGCCTGCAGTGTTAGGCCTGCAGTGTTAGGCCTGCAGTGTTAGGCCTGTTATGTTAGGCCTGCAGTGTTAGGCCTGCAGTGTTAGGCCTGCAGTGTTAGGCCTGTTGTGTTAGGCCTGCAGTGTTAGGCCTGCAGTGTTAGGCCTGTTGTGTTAGGCCTGCAGTGTTAGGCCTGTTGTGTTAGGCCTGCAGTGTTAGGCCTGTTATGTTAGGCCTGCAGTGTTAGGCCTGCAGTGTTAGGCCTGTTGTGTTAGGCCTGCAGTGTTAGGCCTGCAGTGTTAGGCCTGTTATGTTAGGCCTGTTGTGTTAGGCCTGCAGTGTTAGGCCTGCAGTGTTAGGCCTGTTGTGTTAGGCCTGTTGTGTTAGGCCTGCAATGTTAGGCCTGTTGTGTTAGGCCTGCAGTGTTAGGCCTGTTGTGTTAGGCCTGCAATGTTAGGCCTGTTGTGTTAGGCCTGTTGTGTTAGGCCTGCAGTGTTAGGCCTGTTATGTTAGGCCTGTTGTGTTAGGCCTGCAATGTTAGGCCTGTTGTGTTAGGTCGCAGTGTTAGGCCTGCAGTGTTAGGCCTGCTGTGTTAGGCCTGTTGTGTTAGGCCTGCATTGTTAGGCCTGCTGTGTTAGGCCTGCAGTGTTAGGCCTGTTATGTTAGGCCTGCAGTGTTAGGCCTGTTGTGTTAGGCCTGCATTGTTAGGCCTGCTGTGTTAGGCCTGCTGTGTTAGGCCTGCAGTGTTAGGCCTGCAGTGTTAGGCCTGTTGTGTTAGGCCTGCAGTGTTAGGCCTGCTGTGTTAGGCCTGCAGTGTTAGGCCTGTTGTGTTAGGCCTGCCGTGTTAGGCCTGCTGTGTGAGGCCTGCAGTGTTAGGCCTGCCGTGTTAGGCCTCCAGTGTTAGGCCTGCCGTGTGAGGCCTGTTGTGGTTTGCCTGCAGTGTTAGGCCTGTTGTGTTAGGCCTGCAGTGTTAGGCCTGTTGTGTTAGGCCTGCAGTGTTAGGCCTGTTATGTTAGGCCTGTTGTGTTAGGCCTGCAATGTTAGGCCTGTTGTGTTAGGCCTGTTATGTTAGGCCTGTTGTGTTAGGCCTGCAGTGTTAGGCCTGCCGTGTTAGGCCTGTTGTGTTAGGCCTGCCGTGTGAGGCCTGTTGTGGTTTGCCTGCAGTGTTAGGCGTGTTGTGTTAGGCCTGCAGTGTTAGGCCTGCAGTGTTAGGCCTGCAGTGTTAGGCCTGTTGTGTTAGGCCTGCAGTGTTAGGCCTGTTGTGTTAGGCCTGCAATGTTAGGCTGTTATGTTAGGCCTGCAGTGTTAGGCCTGTTGTGTTAGGCCTGCAATGTTAGGCCTGTTGTGTTAGGCCTGCAGTGTTAGGCCTGCTGTGTTAGGCCTGCAGTGTTAGGCCTCCAGTGTTAGGCCTGTTGTGTTAGGCCTGCAGTGTTAGGCTGTTATGTTAGGCCTGTTGTGTTAGGCCTGCAGTGTTAGGCCTGTTGTGTTAGGCCTGCAGTGTTAGGCCTGTTGTGTTAGGCCTGTTGTGTTAGGCCTGCAATGTTAGGCCTGTTGTGTTAGGCCTGCAGTGTTAGGCCTGCTGTGTTAGGCCTGCGGTGTTAGGCCTGTTATGTTAGGCCTGCAGTGTTAGGCATGTTGTGTTAGGCCTGCAGTGTTAGGCTGTTATGTTAGGCCTGCAGTGTTAGGCCTGTTGTGTTAGGCCTGCAGTGTTAGGCCTGCAGTGTTAGGCCTGTTGTGTTAGGCCTGCAATGTTAGGCCTGTTGTGGTTTGCCTGCAGTGTTAGGCCTGTTGTGTTAGGCCTGCCGTGTGAGGCCTGTTGTGGTTTGCCTGCAGTGTTAGGCCTGTTGTGTTAGGCCTGCAGTGTTAGGCCTGCAGTGTTAGGCCTGCAGTGTTAGGCCTGTTGTGTTAGGCCTGCAGTGTTAGGCCTGTTGTGTTAGGCCTGCAATGTTAGGCCTGTTGTGTTAGGCCTGCAGTGTTAGGCCTGCTGTGTTAGGCCTGCAGTGTTAGGCCTGCAGTGTTAGGCCTGCAGTGTTAGGCCTGTTATGTTAGGCCTGCAGTGTTAGGCCTGTTGTGTTAGGCCTGCAGTGTTAGGCCTGTTGTGTTAGGCCTGCAGTGTTAGGCCTGTTGTGTTAGGCCTGTTGTGTTAGGCCTGCAATGTTAGGCCTGTTGTGTTAGGCCTGCAGTGTTAGGCCTGCTGTGTTAGGCCTGCAGTGTTAGGCCTGCAGTGTTAGGCCTGTTGTGTTAGGCCTGCAGTGTTAGGCCTGTTATGTTAGGCCTGCAGTGTGAGGCCTGTTGTGTTAGGCCTGTAATGAAATGCCAATACCCAAGTCATGTTACTTTTGACAGGACAAGGAGTGACTCGATGTTTTAGTTTCTACCTACTGACCTTGTGAAACTAAAAAAACAACTTTTAAAAATGATAAAAGCATGTTTTTTTTTCATTTTTTATTCAATCTTCTGACGAAACCTTTCAGTAATAAAAACCGTAAAATACCCACTTAACCCCGCTTCCAGTTTGAGATCATATGTACACTTCCAACATTAACATGCGTTTCATACGGCGTATGGCGATTTTAAACCTCTGATAGACAAATCATATTCGTGTTGTTTCTATATTCATAGGAGAAACGGCAGTCAGCATTCAGCCATACGTCAGAGTGGTCCCATTGACAGTCGCGTTGTACCATCAGTCTCATTCCCACTCATATCCATCTACTCGTTAATGTTGAGTGAGTGAGTGAGTGAGTGAGTGAGTGAGTGAGTGAGTGAGTGAGTATGGTTTTACGCCGCTTTTAGCAATATTCCAGCAATATCACGACGGGGGACACCAGAAATGGGCTTCCCACATTGTACCCATGTCGGGAATCGAACCCGGGTCTTCGGCGTGACGAGCGAACGCTTTAACCACTAGGCTACCCGACCGCCCCTTCGTTAATGTTGAACATCATAGATCAGCATAGTGATGACTCACTTCCTTCAAGCGAGACAAGGTAAAATATTTATTTTCAAGAACATTGAAACTGTATTTATGATGGGCGTTGCTGGCACTAGAGCGGTAACTTCCTTGTATGTTAATTGAAATGGGTACTGTTAATTTCAAGATACAATTTTCAATTGATTTTACCGTGTATCTAGTAAATAGAAATGGATCCGGGTTTATTCAATTTCAGCTGTGCGGTCAGACCCTTTGGTGGAACGTTGGGGCGACGGGACTTATGGGTGATTGAATGGTAATGTAATTTTAAACAAAACAACGCTCAGTGTGCTCCAAACCGTATGTTATTAATTTGTATCACGGACGGTGGAGTAGCCTTGTGGTTTAAAGCATGCTTGAATTGAATAACCTCGGGTGATCAGGACGAGGTTTCCTCAAAGGTAAATCAACTGGGTTGCATGTATAAATATCCCCTACTGGCGTGGGAACGAGTCGAGTGTGTCGACGCCGAGAGGAATATCATTACTGTATGTTAGTGAGCTGTTGTCAAGTGTAAGGGGGGCGGTCGGGTAGCCTAGTGGTTAAACGTTCGCTCGTCACGCCGAAGACCCGGGTTCGCTTCCCCAATGTGTGAAGCCCATTTCTGGTGTCCCCAGCCGTAATATTGTTGGCATATGGTTAAAAGCGGCGTAAAACAATACTCACTCACTCACTCACTCATTCGTATCATCAGATAGAATGGAGCTCTACTGGGGACAGTTTCATTGATTATGTCGTCATCAATAGAGGGGGACGGCGCAGATGTTATGTACATCTCGGAGATAAACCTACTGTGTTTGAAATTAGAGGTGCTATAACGGATTTATAGCTCTAAATTTAATTTAAAACCGAACCGAAATTAAATTTAGAGCTATAAATCCGTTATACTAACGTTAATTTCAAAACACTAAGTTTATCGCCATTCTACCATGACAATTTTATTAACGAGTTCAGCTGGAGCTCTTTCATAGCGCTAGGTGGCAATACGTGATGCGGTTGATACAGACGATGTCGGGGTGGATTCAGAGGCTTCACAACTCCAGGAAGATTACAGGATAAAGGTCAGGCGAAGGCTCACCCTCATGTCCTGTTGCATCCTTTCGGCTCTTTCGGAAATTATCATAATTATTCGAAATTACATCCCCAAACCATTGTTAAGCAGCCTCGCAAACATGCCATTGAATCCGAATCGATTTGGTTCACTCTGAAGCTATTTTCACAGATGATGAAAATCGTATCCACAGGTCGCATGTGAGCCCAATTTCAACCAATCACTGTGTAAGAGCAACCACAGTGACCTTCTGTTGCACGCATGCGTAGAGGAGCGTGAAATCGTAAGGTTGACTGTTCACGAAAGTCAACAGTATCTGTCTTCGTACAACGCCGACTCCTCGTCAGATCAAAAACACCTCTTCTCTTCCTTTGTGCAAGGTGTCAGTTACCAGGTATCCACTACTGCCAGCTCAACCAAGTTAGTCTTGCACAGGTGAGCTTCAGCTACATCTTCCCTAATTTCCCATTTACCATTTTTGCAATGTAACGGTAAACAATTACTCCCGGGAATACGATGGTAAACAATTACTCCTGGGAATACGACGGTAAACAATTACTCCCGGGAATACGACGGTAAACAATTACTCCTGGGAATACGTCAAGGTCGGTTCCGTGTGGGCAAAGGGTCTACGATCAAAACTCCAAAGGTAAACCAAGATGTTTTTATCTTATTGGTAATATCTCTGAAATGATCAGTTTAACCACCCCCAATACATAGTCTCCACACATCCACACAAAGAGACATCACACAACATTTTAACAACAATTTATTCTAACAAATATAACATCAGTCACAATAATCATAAGCATGTATCAGTAAATTCAACTTAAAAATCTTGTTAAAATATTGTCAAATGTTGCAATAAGATCTACCGGATTTCACATTATACATAAATCCATCAAAATCAAATCGATACACGTTTGTAACTCACACAATGCCGACATAGCATCCCAGTCCCAATCTGGGAATTATCACTTTGTGATGTTCTAGCTTGAAAAGACGCAAGCTTCAATACATAATATTACCCTTTTCTTTGCTGTGAGCTTATCAGAGCTTAAACATTGACAAGGGTATATAATTAGTGAATAGAGGTAGTGATACTCAATGCCTCTCCCCACACAAGTAACATCTATTAATAGGATGAAATTACTTACTATGAAAAGTAAGTTCACATATTATGGATTCTCATAACAATTACTATTGATTTTGCTGATTTCAGATGTTGGGGCTCTTCTGGTTAGCAAAGAAAAGCATGTGTTTGTAAGTGATTTTGTATGGACTGGAATTTGAATGACACTGTAGTGAACACGTCAGATACTATCATTCAATCAGTGTACACATATGTTGATATGAGTGAGTGAGTATGGTTTTACGCCGCTTTTAGCATTATTCCAGCAATATCACGGCGGGGGAACACCAGAAATGAGCTTCATACATCGTACCCATGTGGGGAATCGAACCTGGGCCTCAGCGTGATACGCGAACGCTTTAACCACTAGGCTACCCCACCGTACCTGATATACCTGATACCGTTGATATAAAGTATAACATTAAACATTCTCCTGAAATATTGGTGTTCTTTCTTTTCTCAGTATGGAGGCCCGTCGCCTGTCTCAATGTTCGAGGGCGATGACGAGCAATATATTTGTGTCGATTATTATTATTATATTCTATGACACAACGTTACACTTTCTGCTTGATAGGGGGCGGTCGGGTAGCCCAGTGGTTAAAGCGTTCGCTCGTCCCGCCGAAGACCCGGGTTCGCTTCCCGACATGGGTACAATGTGCGAAGCCCATTTCTGGTGTCCCCCGCATTGATATTGCTGGAATATTGTTAAAACCATACTCACTCACTCACTTTCTGCTTGACAGAGGAACACATGCTCACCAGCTCCCTCCTGTCCTTCTGACGCCAATATTCTCGCACTGTCTTGGAGAGCCGTCTGCAAAAATCCTCTTCCGTAGCTGCGCTGTCCTCATGTCTCAAAACGAGGCTAAGCACGCGAGGAATGGAGCAGACGATCAGAGATGACAAGACACTGACGATGACCGATATATGGTGATGTGTATTGAAGTCGTGAATCAGACGCACAGTGGTAGTGATGAGGAGACAGATGACTGTTAGCTTCAGCAAGGATAGGAATACGCACACTCGGAATGGCCGATGTTTTTCTATAACTGTCTCAAACAGATCCTTTGGTACTCCCGGCCGGCTGTCACAAGTCCTCACGTACGGCACCTGCACAGAACTGTCACCCATGTTAGTCACGTGCTCCTCCGGGATGGCTTCATTTTCCACGACCGCCACCATCTTCCTGGTCTTCGTCGACCTAGTTGGTGTTTTAGAACTTTCGGGATGTTCTTTTTGTATATTTGTACTAACTTTTATGGTTTTTGTAAAGAGGTTCATATAACCAATATCTATGTCCCTGACTGCCTTCCATACATAATACAGACTCGTGACGGCGAAGGTCAAATAACCAAACGCGATGTTGGGGTAGGCAATGATCCCGATGTAGGTGAAGGTGATGACTCCAAACATGAAGGTGAAGCTGGAAATGAAGATGGCACAGAATGTATACAATGTGTACACGAGAACCAGACCTGTCGCCACTGAAGCCGGGAACCTCAGAAGACGTAGACCCCTAGCGACAGGACTCTTAGAATTGTTCAACCAGCCAACACTGTTGAATGTGTCCAGGACCAACTTGATATACACTCGCAAGATAAGCGTGAAGAAGTACACCATGGGGATCCCATAATACACCACGCAGAGCAGAGTCTCGGCCAAGCAGACGACAATATACACAGTACAAATAAATACCATCAATACATATTTAACAACTGCTGGTAGAGAGTCCAATTTGGCTGAGATATTTTGAAGACGTGTATAATGGACTTTCGACATATAGCTCCAGAAATCAATGTTGATCAGTAGGAATAGATTTGCCTTAAGAACCCTTAACACCAGTTTGTAGCTGTTGTCCTCACTGGAGCAATTGAGTCCTCCCAGACGCGATGTTCTCACCAGGCCTAACCACAGGGGAGTCCAGGTCTTGGTGGGACACTGGTGGAGGACGTTGCACATGGACTGGGACAGGTTTCTCGGTAAACAGAAGAGGAGAGTTCCTACGACGAAATACACGCAATGGAGGACGTACGGTCCCCCTAGGGCTGTGAACACGTTCCGTCGACTCAACTCCATGCCAAAGAACACAGCAGAGTAACCTATAGGAACGTTGGCCTTGATGCAGTCCTGTAAATACTGAAATTCACTTGTGTAGTAAGCATACAGACGGACGTACGTGATGGCAGGGGATAGATATATGAATAACAGACGTTGTATGCGCGACGTCATGTGGGGGTGACGTTTGAGGTGGGGAAACATCCGGGTAAATATTGACGAGAACGTCACAGGACTGCGCGTGCCCTGATAAAGCCAGATGACGTCATGGGAGATGTCCATTTCCAGAGTGCTGGTCCGTTCCATGTCAGCTTGGCTCGATGGGATGGACTTTGGGGACATGTTGTAAGACAAGGCACACAACCAGATAGGGAAGTAAAAAAGTCCGATAACGCCAAGCACGGAGGGTAGCGAGGTCGTTGTGAACGTTGGTTCTCGGGGTGGTTCGGTGCAAATAGCAGGACGCAAGCGGGTGGCAGTGTCAAATTTTAATCGGCAGCACTTGTTGACCAGAATTCTCGTCTTGATGCCCAAAGAGTTGGCGATGACGTCAGAGAGAGGAAGTTTATGTTTGATTTCCTGATAGCACCAAATGCTGTGGTTGTAATCGGCGTTCACGACACTGAGTGTAGTTTTTATCATGTCACCAATTGCATCACTAATGGCCTGTGTTGTCGCCTTACTACCAAGATGCACGCGACAGTTCCGGGGATACACATGCAACTTCACAGCGAGGCTATCCGTGAAGCTGTCAAGGATACCAAGGGAGAGAACTCTGTAATCCCTGGGCCAGGATAGAAAAGCCGCGGCTCCCGATGGTGTAGCAAATGTCCATATCCACTCTAAGGGTCGGAAAGCAAGCTTTGTCTTCGACGCAAACGACGTATTCACCAACGACATCGTCATGTACACGACTCTCGGGTTGTGTGACCTTCCAAGGTAAGCGAAGTCATCGGCACTGTCATCGTCGACGGTGAAGACGCATAGTGACGTTGTAGGCGACGCTGCCGTGGTTTTTGCTGGAGTATCTGCCGTGTCAGCTTCAGAGTTGTTGGTTAGTAGTGAAGGCGTGCCGCTGGTCGCTGTGACAGACGTTGACGCTACACTCCACGCCAACGACACGCAAACCCAAACAGTCAGGTCCTGGTATAAGGTTGGCATTTCTTGTCTGAAATAAATATGGATGGAAAAACGTGTCACTAAAATAAGCTTCATTTGTTTCAAAACACAACACTTTTACAGACGCGAATACGTAAATAGGATTGGGTAGATGTCAACACACTCACTTGACTCTCGACCTATATTCAGTACAATGCAACCGTGAAGATCCGAGTTAGAATTGGTCTTCAGCGACTAACGAGATCGGGTGGTCAGGCTCGCTGACTTGGTTGATGCATGTCATCGTATCCCAATTGCGTAGATCGATTCTCATGGTGTAAATCACTGGATTGTCTTGTCCCGACTCGATTATTTACAGACCGCCATCATAGAGGTTGAATATTGCTGAGAGCGGCATTTAACAACAAACAAACAAACAATACCATGAAACGTCATGCATCTTCAGAGACATCGGGTAAGTGGATACTTGCACCCTACTGAACCCGGATAACTACAACCATGGTGTAACTTACCCGGATAACTACAACCACGGTGTAACTTACCCAGATAACTACAACCATGGTGTAACTTACCCAGATAACTACAACCATGGTGTAACTTACCCAGATAACTACAACCACGGTGTAACTTACCCAGATAACTACAACCATGGTGTAACTTACCCAGATAACTACAACCATGGTGTAACTTACCCGGATAACTACAACCATGGTGTAACTTACCCAGATAACTACAACCATGGTGTAACTTACCCAGATAACTACAACCACGGTGTAACTTACCTGGATAACTACAACCACGGTGTAACTTACCTGGATAACTACAACCACGGTGTAACTTACCTGGATAACTACAACCATGGTGTAACTTACCCAGATAACTACAACCATGGTGTAACTTACCCGGATAACTACAACCGTGGTGTAACTTACCTGGATAACTACAACCATGGTGTAACTTACCCGGATAACTACAACCATAGTGTAACTTACCTGGATAACTACAACCATGGTGTAACTTACCTGGATAACTACAACCATGGTGTAACTTACCTGGATAACTACAACCATGGTGTAACTTACCCAGATAACTACAACCATGGTGTAACTTACCCGGATAACTACAACCGTGGTGTAACTTACCTGGATAACTACAACCATGGTGTAACTTACCCGGATAACTACAACCATAGTGTAACTTACCTGGATAACTACAACCATGGTGTAACTTACCTGGATAACTACAACCATGGTGTAACTTACCTGGATAACTACAACCATGGTGTAACTTACCCGGATAACTACAACCATGGTGTAACTTACCCGGATAACTACAACCATGGTGTAACTTACCCGGATAACTACAACCATGGTGTAACTTACCTGGATAACTACAACCACGGTGTAACTTACCCGGATAACTACAACCATGGTGTAACTTACCCAGATAACTACAACCATGGTGTAACTTACCCGGATAACTACAACCATGGTGTAACTTACCCGGATAACTACAACCATGGTGTAACTTACCTGGATAACTACAACCATGGTGTAACTTACCCGGATAACTACAACCATGGTGTAACTTACCCAGATAACTACAACCACGGTGTAACTTACCCGGATAACTACAACCATGGTGTAACTTACCCGGATAACTACAACCACGGTGTAACTTACCCGGATAACTACAACCATGGTGTAACTTACCCAGATAACTACAACCATGGTGTAACTTACCCGGATAACTACAACCATGGTGTAACTTACCTGGATAACTACAACCGTGGTGTAACTTACCCGGATAACTACAACCATAGTGTAACTTACCTGGATAACTACAACCATGGTGTAACTTACCCGGATAACTACAACCATAGTGTAACTTACCCAGATAACTACAACCATGGTGTAACTTACCCGGATAACTACAACCACGGTGTAACTTACCCAGATAACTACAACCATGGTGTAACTTACCTGGATAACTATAACCATGGTGTAACTTACCCGGATAACTACAACCATGGTGTAACTTACCCGGATAACTACAACCACGGTGTAACTTACCCAGATAACTACAACCATGGTGTAACTTACCCAGATAACTACAACCGTGGTGTAACTTACCCAGATAACTACAACCATGGTGTAACTTACCCGGATAACTACAACCATGGTGTAACTTACCCAGATAACTACAACCACAGTGTAACTTACCCAGATAACTACAACCACGGTGTAACTTACCCAGATAACTACAACCATGGTGTAACTTACCCGGATAACTACAACCACGGTGTAACCTACCCAGATAACTACAACCACGGTGTAACTTACCCGGATAACTACAACCACTGTGTAACTTACCCGGATAACTACAACCATGGTGTAACTTACCCAGATAACTACAACCATGGTGTAACTTACCCAGATAACTACAACCACGGTGTAACTTACCCAGATAACTACAACCACGGTGTAACTTACCCAGATAACTACAACCGTGGTGTAACTTACCCGGATAACTACAACCACGGTGTAACTTACCTGGATAACTACAACCACGGTGTAACTTACCCGGATAACTACAACCACTGTGTAACTTACCCGGATTACTACACCCATGGTGTAACTTACCCGGATAACTACAACCATGGTGTAACTTACCCGGATAACTACAACCACGGTGTAACTTACCCGGATAACTACAACCACGGTGTAACTTACCCGGATAACTACAACCACGGTGTAACTTACCCGGATAACTACAACCATGGTGTAACTTACCCGGATAACTACAACCACTGTGTAACTTATCCGGATAACTACAACCATGGTGTAACTTACCCAGATAACTACAACCACTGTGTAACTTATCCGGATAACTACAACCATGGTGTAACTTACCCAGATAACTACAACCATGGTGTAACTTACCCGGATAACTACAACCATGGTGTAACTTACCCAGATAACTACAACCACGGTGTAAGTTACCAGGATAACTACAACCATGGTGTAACTTACCCAGATAACTACAACCATGGTGTAACTTACCAGGATAACTACAACCATGGTGTAACTTACCCGGATAACTACAACCATGGTGTAACTTACCCAGATAACTACAACCATCGTGTAACTTACCCGGATAACTACAACCATAGTGTAACTTACCTGGATAACTACAACCATAGTGTAACTTACCCAGATAACTACAACCATGGTGTAACTTACCCGGATAACTACAACCATGGTGTAACTTACCTGGATAACTACAACCACGGTGTAACTTACCTGGATAACTACAACCATGGTGTAACTTACCCAGATAACTACAACCATGGTGTAACTTACCCGGATAACTACAACCATGGTGTAACTTACCTGGATAACTACAACCATGGTGTAACTTACCTGGATAACTACAACCATGGTGTAACTTACCTGGATAACTACAACCATAGTGTAACTTACCCAGATAACTACAACCATGGTGTAACTTACCTGGATAACTACAACCACGGTGTAACTTACCCAGATAACTACAACCATGGTGTAACTTACCCAGATAACTACAACCATGGTGTAACTTACCTGGATAACTACAACCATGGTGTAACTTACCTGGATAACTACAACCATGGTGTAACTTACCTGGATAACTACAACCATAGTGTAACTTACCCAGATAACTACAACCATGGTGTAACTTACCCAGATAACTACAACCATGGTGTAACTTACCCGGATAACTACAACCATGGTGTATTTTACCCAGATAACTACAACCACGGTGTAACTTACCAGGATAACTACAACCATGGTGTAACTTACCCAGATAACTACAACTGTGGTGTAACTTACCCGGATAACTACAACCATGGTGTAACTTACCTGGATAACTACAACCATGGTGTAACTTACCCAGATAACTACAACCACTGTGTAACTTACCTGGATAACTACAACCATGGTGTAAGTTACCCGGATAACTACAACCATGGTGTAACTTACCCAGATAACTACAACCATGGTGTAACTTACCCAGATAACTACAACCATGGTGTAACTTACCCGGATAACTACAACCATGGTGTAACTTACCTGGATAACTACAACCATGGTGTAACTTGCCCGGATAACTACAACCATGGTGTAACTTACCCAGATAACTACAACCATGGTGTAACTTACCCGGATAACTACAACCACGGTGTAACTTACCCGGATAACTACAACCACGGTGTAACTTACCCGGATAACTACAACCACGGTGTAACTTACCCAGATAACTACAACCACGGTGTAACTTACCCGGATAACTACAACCATGGTGTAACTTACCCAGATAACTACAACCATAGTGTAACTTACCCGGATAACTACAACCATGGTGTAACTTACCTGGATAACTACAACCATGGTGTAACTTGCCCGGATAACTACAACCATGGTGTAACTTACCCAGATAACTACAACCATGGTGTAACTTACCCGGATAACTACAACCACGGTGTAACTTACCCGGATAACTACAACCACGGTGTAACTTACCCGGATAACTACAACCACGGTGTAACTTACCCAGATAACTACAACCACGGTGTAACTTACCCGGATAACTACAACCACGGTGTAACTTACCCAGATAACTACAACCATGGTGTAACTTACCCGGATAACTACAACCATGGTGTAACTTACCTGGATAACTACAACCATGGTGTAACTTACCTGGATAACTACAACCATGGTGTAACTTACCCAGATAACTACAACCATGGTGTAACTTACCCAGATAACTACAACCATGGTGTAACTTACCCGGATAACTACAACCATGGTGTAACTTACCTGGATAACTACAACCACGGTGTAACTTACCCAGATAACTACAACCATGGTGTAACTTACCTGGATAACTACAACCATGGTGTAACTTACCTGGATAACTACAACCATGGTGTAACTTACCTGGATAACTACAACCACGGTGTAACTTACCCAGATAACTACAACCATGGTGTAACTTACCCGGATAACTACAACCACGGTGTAACTTACCTGGATAACTACAACCATGGTGTAACTTACCTGGATAACTACAACCACTGTGTAACTTACCCGGATAACTACAACCACGGTGTAACTTACCCAGATAACTACAACCATGGTGTAACTTACCCGGATAACTACAACCACGGTGTAACTTACCCGGATAACTACAACCATGGTGTAACTTACCTGGATAACTACAACCA